TTCAGATATAAAATTTTAAAAATGATAAATTTAGTCCCTAATAAATAATAGGGCTCATTTATTTGCTAATAAAAAGTACTCATAAATAAAGAAAAGGAATAATCTAAATAGACAATTGGGAAAGAGATACAAATAATAATAAGAAAAATTCCCTATACAGCATATGAGACTATGCACACCATAATAAATGGAGTTAGCCATGTGCAGGGCTCATGCTTATACTCCAAGATACTCGGGATATTGAAGAAGGAGAATTTCCTGAGACCAGGAGTTTGAAATCAGCCTGATCAACACAGTAATAACCACCACTAGAAAATTTTTTTTTAATTGGCTGGGTATGACAGTGTGCAAGTGTGCATCTGTAGTCCCAGCTACCCAGGAGGTTGAGGTGGGAGGATCACTTGGGCCCAGGAGTTCAAGGTTGCAGTGAGCTATGCTCCAGCATGTCTGACAAAGCAAAACTCTGTTTCTTAAAAAAACAAAAGTCAAAACAAGGAAATGACCTTATAATGTGCCAGATTCAGATGACTAACTTATCAGGTGATCAAGAAGGTGTTTAGTAACAGGCATTCCCAATCACCAGTGGAGTTGTTCAAATTTATACAAACAGGTATATAATAAGACCATTTGAAATACTTGGACCAAGCATTTTAAGAATTCTGAAAAATTTCATTTATTTTGGATGATTTTCTCCTATAACTCATAAAGCGCTTTAATCTATGCCAATCATCAATAAAATATATTTTTGAAATTTAAAAATTATCAACCATAAATATATATACTTGATGTGATTTTTTTATTTTACTTTTTTTTTTTTTTTTTTGAGTTGGAGTCTCACTCTGTCGCCCAGACTGGAGTGCAGTGGCCACTCCCGGCCACTGCAGCCTCGACCTGCTGGGCTCCGGCAATTCATCTGCCTCAGCCTTCCAAGTAGCCAGAATTACAGGCATGCGCTACCACGCTCGGCTGATTTTTTGATTTATTGTAGAGATGAGGTCTCGTTGCCCAGGCGGGTCTCGAACCCGCGGGCTCAGGCAATCCACTCACCTCAGTCTCCCAAAGGTGCGGGATTACAGGCTGAGCCACCGAGCCCGGCTGATTTTTTATTTTACATACATACACTTTTTTTGTGAAACATCTGAGAATAAATAAAAGACATAGAGTGTTTCTTGACCCAAAAATATGTCAACATATTTCCTAAGAATAAGATTTTGTCTTATTGTTGGCACAGTAATAAAAATCCGAGAACTTGATTTTATCTAATCTGCAGTCCATATTTAAATTTCATCACTGTGCCAACAATATCATTTATACATTACATACCTACCTACCACGATTTAATATACAAGGGGGAATCCAAAAAACCAGAACTTACTCATAAAAAATTGTGTATTTATTCTTATGCTTTAACTTGAGTCATCTGCAAAGTACTATCTGCAATACATCTACTGAGATGCTTTTTCCACTGCTCAAAATAGTTTTAAACTCATCCACTTTGATGTCTTTTAGTACCTATGCCATTTTTTGTTTCATCTCTTCCACATCAGCAAAACGTTCCCCTCTCTGAGAACTTTTTGCATTCAGGGAAACAAACAAACAAAAAAAAACTCAGGGCAAGATCAGGTGAATAGGGAGGGTGGAACATGGGGGTCATGCCATTTTTGGTCAGTGCACTGTGTGGGCAGGTGCACTTGTAAATCACCCATGAGGAAATAGGCAAATGTGTTGAAAGATATCCCCCCCGAAAAAAAAAATTCACTGAAGCTGACCACAGTCTCTTGCAAAAATGCTAGCTTGTACACGGATTCCAATGGGTTCCTAGAACACTTAGTGGGGGAAGCCTGTACTACAAGTGGCCCACCCTCCAAAAAATAACTCCATTTTTTTGGGGGGTCCCCTTCATAAGATCAAGCAGTGTACTTAGTTGTTACTTCTATTTTTCTCCTTTAATATAAAACCGTTCCTCAATTTTCTGTTTCTTGACATAGGGATATTTAAAGAGTACAGGTTAGTCAATTTGTAAAATTACTTTCCATTTGGCTTATCTGATATTGCCTAACGATTAGATTCAAGTATGCAATTCTAGCAGGAATATATCATAGAGATGTATTGTCCTTCTCAATGCATTACATCAGGATGTGCCCTTATTGACTGCAATGACTGCTGTTATGATATCCATCACATTTCCTCACCAAAAATTTAGGAATTTTTCCTTTATAAATGATTCGTGGAGAAATACTTTGAGACTAAGTATTCTGTTCATCATCAAATAACAGCCTCCAAGTTTTAGCATTAATTAATGATTTTTCTCACGTAGTCATTCCTTCAACATTTATTAGTTGGTATTTTCTTGTCAGGAAGAGCTTCCAGGTTGGGTGCAGTGGCTTACACTTGTAATCCTAGCACTTTGGGAAATTGAAGTGGGAGGATTGGTTGAGCTCTGGAGTTCAAGATCAGTCTATGCAACATAACAAGACTGCGTGTTTTTTAAAGAAATAAAAAAAATTAGCTGGGCATGGTAGTGCAAGCCTGTAGTCCCAGCTACTTGGGAAGCTGAGGTGAAGAACTGCCTGAGCCCAGGAGGTCAAGGCTGCAGTGAGCCGTTATCATGCCACTGCATTCCAGCCTCGGTGACAATGTGAGACCCTGGCTCAAAAAAAAAAAGGAAAGTGCTTTCCCTTCCCCTTACTTCATATCACTGACTTATAAATTCCTATGTTATACATAGGGATATCATCGATGACTAACATTTTTATTTAAATTCTCAAACTGCCCCAAGTTTGGCCAATGGGAATCCCTTCAACTTGACTCCTGTGTCCTTCTGCTAGGTCCCTATAATTCTCTGAATACTTTACTTTTGTGAGGTGGGCAATAAAAAATATATATGGATAGAGAAATTAGACAAATCATAAAACTGTACATTTAAAATTTGTATTTGCTAAAGCTCTAGCTAAAAGTGCTTTCTGTTATAGGCAAGCAATCCTGAAACTACTTTACATGTAAATAAATATATCAATGATAAAAGCCAAGTTCCTCATTATTATAGAAAGTACTAAAGAAGCTAGAATGAACTCTGGGTTTTTAACATAGATATAAAGAAATAAATACAGACATGTGTATATAACTGTGTATGTATACATACACTCACACCCACAAACAAACATTTTCTAGCTTTGTTCACTGAGAGGTAAAAGAAGCAATGAGACATCTGGAGCAATGGGCACAACAGGCAGCCAAATCTTGGTTTCTAAATACTTTTCTCCAACAAAAGCAAGCAGTTTTCATTAGAGAAAAGACTGACTCCAGGTTTTGGGCAGAGAAAGTACAAAAGGAGCCTGCAGTATCTTGTACTCAAAGTGATTTTGACTTTTCCTTTTTTATTCCTTGTATGAAAATATTACATAAAGTGTCTATGTAAAATCAGCATTCAAACAAATACATATAAGAACTATGAAGTAAAGCTCTATTCTTTCTCTATACAATATAAGAAATCAAAATACATCAACTGACAAATGGCAAAATCAACACTGCCTGGACAGTTTTCTTGCCATGTCCCTCAATACATATATTTACAAGAAAGAATTCAGAGGCTCTAGCAGGTATCCCATATATACAATACTTAAAGAAGATAAATATGAAACAATACACAGTCCATGCCTTGAACGAAGTTAGGAAACATTCACTGAATACTTAATGCAGGCAACATTCTGTAACACTGTGGGAGATACCAATGGAAAAATACACAATATTTGCCTTTTAGGAGCTTAAAATCCAGTTGTATATATGAAACTTAGGACAAAGAATTCATGGCTATGTAGACGATTCAGTTTGGGGAAGAGAAAACAAACTATTTGAAGATATCAATCTGACTACAGCATCATAAAATGGAAACGTGGTTTGGTTTTAAGCCCTGACATTAAAATGCTTCATTAGGAATTCAGCTTCTCTTCTCAACAGTTCAAATCTAATCAAATGACATGATCATCTACTTGAGATGCTAGTAGGACAATGAGTTCATTTAGTATATGCTATTTTCTTTTTTTTTTTTTTTTTGAGTTGGAGTCTCACTCTGTCGCCCAGACTGGAGTGCAGTGGCCGCTTCCAGCCACCGTAGCCTCAACCTGCGGGGCTCCGGTGATCCTTCCGCCTCAGCCTTCCAAGTAGCCGGAATTACAGGCATGCGCTACCATGCCCAGCTGATTTTTTGATTTATTGTAGAGATGAGGTCTCGCTGCCCAGGCGGGTCTCGAACCCGTGGGCTCAGGCAATCCACTCACCTCAGTCTCCCAAAGGCAGGGGATTACAGGCTGAGCCACCGAGCCCGGCTTATGCTATTTTCTAGTTAGGTCATCTCAGACAAGGTAAAAGGGAGCTGTGTTGTTTCTTCTAATGCTTTTTTTAAAAAAGAAGGAAACAACAAAAATCATATTCTAAAGTTGCAACAACTATCAAGCTCTCTTAAGAAAAAGTAAATAATTATTCCTTAAATACACCCTAAAATGAAAACATTCCAAATAAGTAAAAAAAATTAAGATCTAGGCCATTTCTTACTTGGATCTAATTGTGTGTCTCTTTAATTTTCTCTACCTTGTTTCTTTTATTTCAGGGCATAGACTACAGATAATGTTCAAAGTTTATTGGCTAAATTGTAAATTAAACAGGAAAGGAGAAATCAACTTGAAAAATCACAGTCCTCTTTTAAAAGCCTTTATTTTAATTTTCTGGTGAAAGGGTAAAATAAATGAGCAAATTTGCAACATGCTTTATATAGTAGTGAGATACAAAGATGACTTATTTTTATATGTAAAACTCACACTCTCTGGAGGATCAGAAAAAGTTTGAGTAGATGAAAATGTATAAACTTGTCATATGGTTCTGATACTATTTAATAAAATCTCTAAAAGGTCATAGTAATGAAATCTCAAGTGTTTAAGCCTACTACATTTAAAGTTAAAACTGAAGCATATCAAAAACAATTCAGCATTCTTTAAATTTCTTACCACAATCATTTCTGAAGGCTCTAATACAAGACAATCACATCCTCTTTTTCCTCCAAACTGCTTACCAAAACTATAAAACAGAAAAACAATTTCTTTAGCAAAGGTTATAAACAAAATGTATCAGTGTAGGAAAAAAACAAATAACAAAAAACTTTAGATGCTAAACCAAGAATTTGTGATCCTGTCACTTATATTAATAAAATAAAATTTTCTAAAAAAAGAAAACTTTTATCTTACTTGCCCAAATATATCTCAATATATTATTGTATTAAAATTGTTTTTAAATATCTGCCTTCATTCAACTAGTCCCTAAAATTAGTCATAGAAGAAACTTGTATAATCTAAAGATTTGAAAATCTGTCAATATATGTTGGATTTAAAAAAACACACCAAATAAAGTGATGCCATGATTATGCAATGTGTCATAAAAGTAAATTATTATCTTTTGGGAGTAGTATTAAGATAACGGATATTTTTGAACCTTAAAAAATATTCACATTCGAGGATTGTAGTCATTCAGTATCCAATGAGGACTGGCTACTGGTTCCCAAGGATACCAAAATCCACGGATGCTCAAGTACCTTACATAAAATGGTGCCGTTATCTGCATATAATCTACATACATTCTCTCATATATTTTAAATCATTGCTAGATTTCTTATAGTATCGAACAAGGGAGATGCTATGTATATAGCTGTTATACTCTATTGTTCAAAGAATAATAACAAGCAAAAAATGTCTACATATTCACTACAGATGCAACTATTCATTTTGCTCTAGACCACAGCTGGCTGAATCCACATATGTGAAACCCACAGAATATAAACTGAATATAAGCAGATGTAGTGAAATACAAAGATGACTTATTTTTGGAAAACACTATCTCTTTGGAAAACACTACAGCTGGATTAGTACTAAAAGAACATGTACTTTTATATTCTTGGTCTTAGAGAAAGATTTCCAAGCAAATTAAAAAAGAAATCAATCATAAAGAAAAAGGTAAGCTTTCATTTTAAAAGATACACTGAATTTTTGTAAAAGTGAGGGAGAATAAATAAAATACTTGCCAATTATATTAAGACACAAAAGGTTCGCATACTCAATATACAGAGAGCACTTAAATTATAAAGCAACCATAACACTTGAAAATTTAGTACCAGGTTCAATTATAAATTAAATACATAAACAAAATATAACCAAGTGGGAAAAACCCCACTAATGCAAACAAAATATAAAATATAAAAATTCTAATTAATAAATACAGAAATCACTGATAAAGAAAATTATACTATTTTGTTGATGGACTAGAAAAATGGTTTAGAAAAAGTAAAATAGCATATACTTTTATAAAAAGCCTCATTATTAGAAAAATGTAAATTTCCCAAAGTATAAGGCTATATAAAAATAATAGCTTATAACAAAATTCGAATCAAAATCCCAATAAAATTACTTTTTGAGCACAACACCCCCCCAAAAAATTATTATTTTTTTTTTTGGTTAAGCAGAAGATCTGTATTTTTTCTCCAAATAAACTCTTACATCACCTAATATATTTGAAGTTAATTTGTAAAGGTTTGCTTTTGTGCAAAATGGAATAACAGGTACTGAATTTATTCTCCCACCTGAAAAACAACAACAACAACATAAAACAAGACAAAATATATAAAACAACAGTTGAAAGACACTGGAAAGTAGGCAAGACAGGGTTGTGATTCCTGAGAGAAAACAAAAAATTAAGATGATGCCTACAATACCCCATTTTACTATCTAAGGGCAACCTCTCGGCCACAATGCAAAAACAGAGAAGCCTAACAGAGCCAACAATCTCCCGAGTTAAAGAGATAGAGTGAGTAGCAAAGAGGGGTGGGAAGGGGGAGAACAAGAATGTGCAAAATAGTATGCATGAGAGAGAGTGTGCATATATGCTTTACAGATCTTCAGAAAGGTCCTTTACAGATCTTCAGAAAGGTCTTTGAGCGAGTACTGTGAATATTTGAGAACTAAAAGAGTAGAAACACTACATAATACACGAGGCACTGAAATGTATTTCTTTAGTAACATAATGAATTACTCCTACACTAAAGTTGTACTTGAATTCAGGCCAGGCACAGTGGCTCACACCTGTGAGGCCAAAGTGGGAGGATCGTTTGAGCCCAGTTCAAGACCAGCCTGGGCAACACGGTGAGACCTTGTCTCTACAAAAAACTGTGTTTAGATTAACTGGATGTGACGGCATGTGCCTGTAGTCCTAGCTACTGAGAAGGCTGAAGCAGAAGGATTGCTTGAGCCTAGGAGTTCAAGGCTGCAGTGGGCTATGACTGTGCTACTGTACTCCAGCTTGGGTAACACAGAGACCACCCTGTCTCTTAAAAAATAGTACTGGACTTGCTCAAATTTAAAAGATAAAGCTCAAAATAATCAAATAGATTCCGACTGGCTAGACCATATGTTAGAACAAAGCCCAATAATACCTAAAGATATACAAAAGCTGGAACAAAATGACATAAAATTCACAATGTCTGACATCTAATAAACAAACAAACAAAACAGGCATGCAAAGTAACAGGAAAATATGATCTTTACCCAAAAGAAAAATCAATCAATAAAAGCAAATACAGAACTATCAGAAGCAAGGGAATCAACAGACAAGGATATTCAGACAGACATTTCTAATTACATTCCATATGTGCAAGACAGTAGAGATAAATATGAATAAGATAAAGAAAGGAACAGAAGACACTTAAAAACCTAGTAGAATGCTCTATCAAATCATAATCAGAAACATGAGGTTTGGCTGTTCCATTTTTCAGTAAAATTAGTGAGTGGGCGACCTACCCATTATGAAGTATCTTCTCAATTTTTCATCTATGAGTTTTAGCATTCATTTTTTATCAGTACGTAGATCAAATGTGTTATCAGAGCTACTGAAATAGGCAATTTATACTTCTATCATTCCTTCTGACTTTATTAGCTGGAGTACTAATATAAAGATAACCCCCCTCCATTAATTATTAAAGTTCCCGAAACTATAGTTTATACAAGAAAGGAAAATTAAACACTTCAATTGCAGAAAACAGAATTGTACATAAAGTAAATCCTATAAAAAACCTTCAGCAATAAGTGAATTTAGAAGGATTGAAGGATACAAGCTTAACACCACAAAAATCAATTGATTTATTATATATTAGCAACAATTATGAAAATATAAAATCTTTTAGCTTCATTAAAAGTGAAATAAAAGTAGAGAATGCTTAAGAAATAAATTTATATTCTCTACAAAGATACAAACTAAAAAACTATAAAATATTTGGAAAGAAATTAAAGACCCAACTAAGAAGAGATATATCCTGTTTATGAATTGAAAGACTTACTATTATTAAGACAGCAATTCTCTTGAAACTGTTTTACAGATTCAAGACAATCACAATAAAAATCTCAGAAAGCTGCTTTAGAAGACTGATATAAAGACTCTAAAATTTACATGAAAATGTAAAGAGTCCAAAATAGCTTAAACAACTTTGGAAAATAAGAACAAAGTTGGAATACTTACATTATCAGATATGAAGACATACTATTAAAGCAAAACACAAAATAATGTTGGACAGGATCAACTTATAGATCAATCAAACAGGATCAAGAAAACAAAAGGAGATCCATACATATATGTTCAACTGATTTTTGACAAAGGTATCAAAGGAATTCAATAAAGAAAGATAATCTTTTCTATAAATGATGCAGGAACAACCAGATATAAACACAGAAAAGGATGGTGGGGGGGCACAGAGAACTTAATATAATACCATAAACAAAAATGAAACAAATGAATCAGAGATATAATTAACCCTTTGCACTTGGAGATATCTCATGAATCACCTACCAGCAACCAATTGCAAATTTTTACAAAATAGTGAAAAATGAATCACTTCATATTAAATAGTACAGCATTGGAATCAATTGTTTTATTGTAATGCTATTCAGCTTATAATGGAATTTTGGACACTGAGGAACTTCTTTACGACAAAAAATTAAAATTGTATATATTTTTCTAATACATGGTAATGTGTGACTGTCTTTGACATGCAGTGTAGATTCACTGACACATGTGCAACAGTAATTTGTTTAACATCTTCCACCTGGTGTTTTTCTATTTGAGCAGACAATACAGTCTCATTTTCTTCCTCCCACATTAATAACGTGTAATTTATTGTCCAGTCTATGCACCACTGTGAAAGCATTTCACACATTCTCTTTCTATGTAATGCCACCTGATTTTTTTTTTTTTTTTGAGTTAGAGTCTCACTGTCGCCCAGGCTGGAGTGCCGTGGCACACTCATGGCCACTCCAGCGGGACCTGCTAGGCTCCAGCGATCCTTCCGCCTCAGCCTTCCAAGTAGCTGGAACTACAGGCGCACGCTACCACGCCTGGCTAATTTTTTTTATTTTTTAATTTTATTGCAGAGACGAGGTCTCAGCAAGTTGCCTGGGCTGGTCTTAAACCCGTGGACTCAGGCAATCCACTCGCTCTGGCCTGGGATTACAGGCTGAGTCACTAAGACCGGCCTCACTTGATATTTTTTAATGTGTATCTCAGTATATATTTCATCTTTTTATTTACTTTTTTGTGCAATTTAAATGGAAAATGTCACAGTAACATACATGTTTAAAAAATTTGTGTTGGTGTTAAGTTTGTCCTGTATAATCACCAGCAATCTCTTTAAGTTCCCGAGGGGGACATATGAGTACAAAATGTTAAAACTATAAAAATTCTCCACACAATAAAACTGCTATACACAGCCTATATCATAATTAGAAAGTTCCCCTCTGCATGCCTAGTTTGTTCAAATGTCTTATCCTGAGTAGGTTTTATTTTTCAAATGGTATTTTTTTTCCTGCATTTATTAAAAGGATCATGTGGTTTCTGTCCATTATTTTACTAATATAGTATATTGTACTAATTGATTTACAAATGCAAAACCAACCTTTCGTTTCTGGCATAATACCCAACTTGGTAATAATATATAATACTTTGAATATATTCCAATTTAAACTACTGAGTAAACTACCAACTAA